CAAACACAGGGCCCGATGGACAGGAAGCACCGAGCGTTAGCTGTTGTTATTACTGTTACGCTGCCAGTGTCGTGGGGCGGGTGGGAAGATGCCGTGGGTTGGCGCGGAGCCGAGGGAAAGCGTGTAGGGACGCTGCCAGCCTGCGCACGCGTGCAGGATGGCTGTGAGGTCCCCGTGCCCCTGGCCGCGCTTGTGCGTGCGTGGGCATGCTCACGGGGCAGGAATAGTCTTATGCATTCGGAGCCTGGCTTGAAACTCAGCTCGACCACATGTCTGCCGAGTGGCCTTGGAAAGGGGACTCGGTTTTCTCATCTGTGAAATGGGGAATCAGGACTCTTCATGAGTCTCAAATGACAGTGATGCACGCGAAGGCTCCCTTAGCCCACGTAGTAAGCACTCAGCCGGCGTGAACACTTCGGAGGGCTGAGCGGTTAGCCCCAGAGCTCTGCAGTGACAGCTGCTCCCCAGCCTGGGGTCTGTCTGCTCAGGCCACTGAGGAACGGGGAGCATCTGGCCTTTCTCGGCCCCCAGGTCCTCTCAGAGGGCAGAGCCAGACAGGTGGTGGTAGGTGGCAGAGCCCAGCGCCCCTCCTAGGACCCGTGACAGGCTCCCAGCCTGGGGCATGGTCCCTGGGATGTCTTTAGCAGCCTCTTTTAAAATTTTTTATTATTTTTTTTTAGTAGCTTTATTGAGATGCAATTCACATCATACGGTTCACCCATTTAAAGTGTATAATTCAGTGATTTTTTTTTAGCATATTCACAGATAAGTGTCACCATCTCCACAATCAGTTCTAGAACATTTCACCATGTCAGAAAGAGCTCACCGCTTTATCCCCCCATCTCCCACCTCTCACCACACCCTCCACCCCACCCTGCCCTAACCAACCACTGAGCTGCTTTCTGTCTCTGTGGATTTGTCTACTCTGGACGTTTCCTATCAATGGACTTACACACCATGTGGCCTTTGGTGACTGGCTTCTGTCACTCAGCGTCCTGTTTTTGAGGTCTCACCCACGATGTAGTGTGTGCCAGCCTTCGTTGCTTTACGGCTGAATCACACACACTCTGTTGTGATTTTGTTTGTCTACAGTTTTGTTTGTCCATTCATCCATTGATGGACATCAGGTTGTTTTGCTTTTGGTCATTGTAAAGTGGCTATGAACATTAATGCACAAGCTTCTTTGTGTGCACACGTTTTCGTTTCTCGTGGGTGTATACCTAGGGCTGGGGTTCCGGGGTCACGGCAACGCTGTGCTTAGCCCCTTGAAGAATTGCCAGACCATTTTCCAAAGATGCTGCACCATTTTCTAGCCTCACCAGTAGGCTGCTTCTTGCCTCAGTTTCCCCTTCTTGCCAGAGGGTTGGCGGGACTAGAGGTGGTACCCAGCCATTTCTAGGCCCTGAGGCTGTCCCTCTCCCTTTCCCTGACCTAATTAGTCAGTCACAGTCCTCCTGAGTGGGGTCATGAGTAGAGGGAAGGCCCCTATCTCAGGGGCCTGAGGGTGCTGGTAAGGGTGGCAGGGCCAGCGTCCCTGGGAGCTGGGCAGGGTCTGCTGGGCTCAGAATCTGAGCCATTCTTCCCTGGGTTGAGGGGACTGAGGGAGGTCATCCCCTGCTTAGGGGTCCCAGAGCAGAGGCTCCGGCAAGGCTGGTGGCACTGGAGCGTCTGCTGTACTGTGGGGCTGTCACTGGAGTCCTCTCGAAGTCGGTAGGCTCTTGGCTTGGTGGCCTTCAGTGGAACTAGAGAGGAGCCTCACGTTGACAGGGCACCTACTGTGTGTCAGGCCTTGTGAAAGTGTCACCGTCCCTTTCCCAGATGAGGCGCAGAGAGGGCAGTGCCTTGCCCAGGGTCACACAGCAAGAGACGAGGCAGGGAGGTGTGCCGAGCCCATCGGGTGTAGCCGATCAGTTCTGCACAGGTCTGCCCTGTGGTCACTGAATGGCCCGAGTGGCCAGAGGTGTCCTCCAGGTGGAGGCATTTCAGAGGCGCACCCTCTGCAGGGGCCTCTTCGTGCCACCCAGGACTCAGAGCTCAGGCCGTGGAGGCTCTGTGGTCAGAGGGCTGCACCATTGGGAATACAGTGCCCCACCCGTCTCTCCCAGCCGCAGCCAGGGGGCTCAGTGAGGGAGCAGCCACCTCGCCTCAGGGACAGTGATGGGCCCTGTGTGACCTTCCTGGGCCCAGGAGAAATTTGCATGTGGCACCGCCCCTCCACCCCAGCGCCCCGAGGACCAAGGCCTGGCCTGGAGGAGAGGACCTTGGGGGGAGGGTGTGGGCAGCCGCAGTCCCCCCTCCTGTCCCCGCTGCTCTGAGTCACTGAGTTCCTTCCTGTTCAGAGGTGTTATTTTAAGAACATGGTGTCACCAGAGGGTTGAGGGCCAGGGCTGACACCTCATTTCTTAGCAGCTCAGCCCACCTGGGGTTGCTGGCTCTCTTAGCCACCCCACAGGCCGGCTGAAGTCAGGCCCGAAGGGGACCCCCCGCCTCCTCCCCAAGACCCAGCTCTGCTTGTCTTAGTCGTAACAGGACAGCTGGCGTCTGCCCGGGGCTTTGCATTCGTGCGTTCCCAGACGTGCACATCCTCGCCCTGTGTGCCCCATTTCTGCCCTCTGATTGTGTGGCTGTGCCCCCATTTCTCGAGGAGGAAATGGAGGCCTGGCTCCCCCAGGGTCTGTGGGAGGGATTTTTCTCTCTGCGTGTTGTGTCCTCCTGCTGTGGCTGTGAGGGCCAAGGTCGCCTCGTGGCCGCCATGTTGGTACTTGGCTTCCCGGGACAGAAGGAGGTTTTGCCTGGTCTTGTGTAGCCCCTGGCAGGTGGCAAGGAAGGGACTTAGGGGAGACCCCTGAGGCCTGCCCTGGGGAAAGGGCAGGTTGGGGTCTGTGGCCATGCTGCTTGTGGGTGGTCCGCATCAGCTGGTATTACCAGGAGGCTTGTGGGTGTCAGGAGGTATGTCCAGCTCCGTCCCCAGGGAGAAGTCCTCGGGCAGGGCGTATGTGCCCCCTTCCCTCGTCCTGGGGCCCTCCCTGCCTGAGGCGTCAGGACTCCGTGTCTCTGTCCTTCCCCTGGCCTACCTGACTCCTCCCACTCTGTATCTGGGTCTTCTGCCTCAGTCATCCATGGCTGACCTGGAGGTTTCTGCTGCAGCTGTGGGCGTGTGAGAGAGCGACGGGGGTCGGGGGAGAGGCAGAGAGCAATGGGGAGACACACAGACGCACGGAGGCGGGTGCAGGTGGAGACTGGGTGGACCCTTCCCTCCAGGGCTGGAGTTAAGAGGCGGGGTTCTAGTTCCAGCTCACCTCTTACCAGCTACGGGCCATGTTTTAACCTCAGAACTCGATTTTCCCATCTGTAAAATGGGGATGGTAGTCGTGTCCGTTGGCTACTGCTGTGTAACACCACCAGCCCCAAATTTAGTGACTGGAGACACCGCTGAATTGCTGTTTGCCGTGAGAGTTAGGAGTCAGCTAAGCATTTCTGTTGATCTGGGCTCAGCTCACTCATGTCCGTGGTCAGCTGGGCCGTCGGCTGGTGGCTGTGGCTCAGCCTTGGCTTGGATGGCACTGCTGTGCTCCTGGTCACCTCCCCGCCTCCAGCAGGCCAGGCTAGCCTTGCTCTCTTGACAGGGCAGGCGGACTAGAGGGAAGCAGAAGTGCAGACACACGTTTCCTCGCCTCTGCTGTCACTGAGTTCACCCCCGTCCCATTGGCCAAAGCAAAGGTGTGGGTGGATACGGTGAGGTGGGGGAAACGGGGACCACGGCTACACCCTGATGGCAGTGGTGACCCTGATACGTGGGCGTTTGTGCCGGGAGCTGGGCTAAAGGCTTGCATGCACTGCCCATCTGGGCTTCCCAATAACCCCTGTGAGTTTACAGGTGAAAACCAGGGGCACAGATGGCCCAGTAACTCACCCAGAGACACAGAGCTGGAGAGTAGTGGGACCAGGATGTGAACCCAGGCCGTGCCCTCAGGCCCTGGCTGTGGTGCTGGCACCCAGGAGGGGGGCACACGGTACCCCGACCCATCGCGGACCCCACAGCACCTCTTGCCTTACTGTGCTTCCATGTTGCCGAGTGTGTGCCTCGTTGGCGCAGTTTCCAGCGCTGTGCAGTGCTGGGATGTGACCGAGCCCTGACTATTCAGCCTTCTGACGGCGGGCAGGCAGTTTGCTGATGTGTTGCTGTTACGAACAGGGCTGTCTGCGCATCCCGGCGGGACCCAGGGCCCTAGCCTTTGTGGGAGCGGAGGGCAAGGCACACCTTCAGCAGGTTTCTTCACTGCTCTCTGCAGCGTGTCGCCCATATGCGTTTGCACCGGCCGCGTGCCGACCTCCCCATCACCCCACTTGCTCGTCTCCTGCCGGGTAGTAGGGAGGACATGGCCTCTCACGGTGGTTTGGACACTGAAAAGTTGAGCAGTTTTCCCTGTTGGAGACCATGGCTGATCTCAGCTCCCTTGGGACGTGTGTGTGCCGGTCCCTGGTGCTCAGGCCAGCACTGCCCAGTGCCCTGCAGAGTAGTCACGATGGCCTTGGCAGGGGTCATAGTGCCACAGCTGTGCCTAGAGGGTTATAGCCTGTTCCTGGCTGGGGCCGCGGGCAGGGCCCCCATGTTCCGTTTCATGCCTGCCAGTGGCTGGTTCTCACACCAGTGGGCAGCTCCCTGGTGCCAGGGCCTCAGCCACCGCGGCTCCTGGCATCTGACTGCTTTCCTTTCTCTTCCCCTGCAGCCATTGTACAACCAGCCGTCCGACACCAGGCAGTATCATGAGAACATCAAAATGTGAGTACTCTCAGGCAGCCATGGACACACAGGGCTTAGGGACAGCCTCTCAGGCCTCGGAGGCCTGGGGTGGGGTTGCGGTGCCCATTCAGGGCCAGGTGCCGGAGCAGGCGCAGAAGGGGGCGGTTTGGGCAACACTTCCGGCCCAGGTAGGGCCTGGGATGGGGTCGTAGCAGGTCTGTGGCGGAGAGCGGCAGAGGGAGTGGTCCCAGGAAGCAGACCTCAGGTTGGGGAGGGCGGGCGAGGTGGAGGGTCACGGGCCCTCATCCTGGGTGAGCAAGAGGACGCTGCCAGGTGGAGAAGAGTGGGCCAGGGAGAAGGGGGTGGCCCAGGGCAAGCACGGGCCCGTGGCTTGGGCCCTGATGTGAGCATATTTGGAAGTGTCTTGCGGTCTGCACAGAGGGTCTGTCCTGTGGCACAGCCCAGGGTGGGCCAGCTGGGAGCACTCACGAATCCAGACCCGGAGGCTTTGGAGGTGGCCAGTACGATGTGCCCCACTGATGGGGCCTCTCCCAGATGGGTGCTACGAGTGAGAAGAGACCAGTTCAGTGTTACGTGCACTTGGTGTGGGCTGAGCTGGCATAGCGGGGACGCCAGGGCTGTCCTGGGGGCTGGTGGCTTCAGACTGGCAGTAAGGCATCAGAGATGTGGCTGCTGGAAGGGGCTGGCTTCTTCTTGGGATGTGTTCATGGGTGCTTCGCCTCCTTGGCTGGGGGACGGATGTTACCTCCCGGAACCCGAAAGGGGAAAGGGACTGCAGACCTTGGGCTTGAAACATGTGCCGTGAGCAATCAGGCTGTTAGTTTGGAGGCCGACTCTCTAGGATCACAGCCTTTGAACTGTCCAAGGTTCATCATTGGGAGAGGGTGCACGCTTTCCTGTCTGACATCAGAGGGCGGTGCTTAGCTGGCCCAGTGGGCAGCCCAGCCCCATCAGCATGTCTGAGTGTCCCTGGGGTGGAATTGCAGGGTATATGTGCTGTGGTAGGCGCCCTGTCCTTGAAGGCATGCACACCTCCCGATGGTGTCCACATACCTGCTGGTTCTGGACTAGTTGTCAAGGAGGTCCCTTCTGGTATAGATTCTGGACTCAAGTGACTAGTCCAGGCTCTGGTGACCAACTCAGCTGCCCCACGCAGCTCCCAGTGACTGATGGAGCAACCTAGAAAATCTGTTGTTGTCGACGAGGTCCTTGGGCCCCTTGGCTCAGAATAACCTGCCAAGGTTGCTTCACCTGCATCAGCCCGTGGCTGGCAGAGGCGGGAGAACGTCCTGCACCCGGGACCCCGGTGCAGTGTGGGATTGCCGAGGCCGCTGGGGCCTGGGCTTCTGTCTGGTCTCGCAGGTGTGTTCACTGCCCAGGTCCCAAAGGCCTCTTGACTCAACACAGTTTCTTTTCAGTCAGGCCACCTTGGTCCTTTCTAAGCTTCCTGGGACCTGCCTTGCCCTGGGGCCACTGCTGGGGGTGGGGCCCCCCAGATGGAGGGTGTGTGTGTGTGGGTGTGTGTGTGCGCACGCATTTTTAGGGCCTATCACAGCTGGTTTAGGGGATCAGGGTGGGTGTTCTCGTCTGAGCAGGGCTGCTGGGAGCATTCATTCATCATTCATTCATTGAACACACATTTGTTGAGCAGCTACTGGGTGCTAAGCCCTGTTCTGGGACCTGGGGATTTAGCTATGAACAAAACAAAGACCCATACCCTCCTCAACTTTTGTCTCGCAGTGGAGACAAGAAAATTAGTGAGTTAAATAAACAATAAAACACCAGTTAATAAAAAGTACTGTAGTCTGTAGCTATCTTAAGCTCGCTATGCTTGGATGTATACCATTTTCCTTTTGATATAGTTTTTGAGAGTAATACCCTTGTACTGAAATTTTTACATAACTGCTATCACTGAAAATGAGTAATATTTTAAGCTGAGTAATGTAGATGCTTTCAAGTTATAAAAATAGCCATAGAAATCCAAACAAAAAAGGTACCCCTACAAAGAATATTCGCACATAAGAGACTGCTGCGTGTGTTTTTGGTAGAATAAAACTGCAAGCTTTCTGAAGTCAGCACCCCATTCCCACGTCCCCTAACCTGCATCAGAGCATAGCCCTGGTCTGCGGGGGACATCTGGGCCTGGAGGTAGCCACCTGGTGAAGTTTGTTCTAGGTTGGAGTCAACAGGTGATCACGTTTAAAGTTTAAAACAGCTATGAAGAGTTGAAGGTTTCTTACATAATCGGCGGTCAGTTTTATGTTAGGAAAACATACCTATAACTAAATTGTTTGAACTTAACATGCCCTTAAATTTTACTTCTTTAAAGCTGGTTTTCGACTAACTAAAACCACGATCCCTTCTGTATTTTAAACTTCAGTGTGCACATCGGTGCAGTCACTCACTTTAAAAAATGCCGTGAAGATGGTATAATGGGGTGATGGTAGAGAAAGAGAGGGGTGAGTAGCCAGGGGGATCACGCAGCACCTGACAGCTGAGTGCACGCTGGGCGGCTGAGCGCAGCCAGCTGTGTGGACCTCCTAGGCAGCTGGAACAGGCAGTGCAAAGGTCCTGGGGCTGGTGAGCTGGTGGGATCTCAGAGAAGGCCAGCGTGGCCCGAGGGGGTAGGTGAAGGGGAGGAAGGTGCTGCCAAGGTGAGGAGCTTGGGTGTCATTCTCTGTGCGAAGGGGGGCCTGCGACAGGGCTTCCTCCAGGAAGTGATATGATTGGATTTTTGCTTTGAAAAGCTCATACTGGTGGCCGCAGGGAGAGAGGACTGGGGGTTGGAAGGCCTTGGCGGAGGTCACTGCAGCCTTCCCAGCAAGCAGTGGTAGCTAGCGTGCAGGCAGGTGACCCTGACCCTGTGGGAGTGGGGTGCGGAGGGTCAGGGTTAGGGAGGGCGGGCCATGGATGCCACGGTCGGGGGCCTGGGCGGCTGTGGGGGCAGACACTGAAGCGGACACTGCAGGGACCGGCTGAGGGCCACGAGCATCTTGCTCCCAGGGCCTTGGCTTCCCGGTCTCTGTGATGGGGTAACACAGCGCCTGCCTCCTAGGGTGGCTGAGCACTCAGGGAGTTACTGTCCCCGAGGCGCCGAGCCAGTGCCAGGCGCGCAGGAAGTCTTCTATCACTCATTCAGCGCATGTTCATTGAGCACCTGCTGTGTGCTAGGCACCGTTCTGGGCCCAGGGGAGACAGCAGTGGGTGAGGCCTGACCTTTCGGTAGTGCAGACAGGTAATAAATAAACGCAGTCTTGTGAAACCGTGGCAGCCTGATAAGGACAGTAAGAGGCTCAGGCTGACGTGATGCAGAGCATGATGCAGAGCGTCACCAGGCTCACCCTTGCCCGCTCCGTCCCCCGGCCCAAGCCTCCTCTCAGTCCCCCTCCCTCTTGTTGCTGTAATTGCTGCCAGGTGGGGGGTGATCTCTTCCCCAAGGACCTTGCCCTGTCACTTTAATTTCTCTGTGTCTGCTTGCTGGGGACGCAGAGTTAAAGTTAATTTCACGCTTGACTTCCTGCTGCACTGGCAATTTCAGATGTGTTGAAGTCACCTGGGCCCACTTGGGCTGTCTTCCCCCAGCCACCTGCCTCCTTGGGAGGTGTGGGGTGGCCACCCGTTTCCTGTGGGGGGGGGGCGAGGGGGACTTGCTGTGGGATCTTAGCCCCAGGCCTCTCAGCCTTGGGGAGCAGGGGAAGGGGCCAGGGGTGACCCTGAGCGGCATAAGGGTGCTCCGTCGAGGGGCCCCCCCTTTCTGCAGGACCTGCCCCAGTGCTCTCTGCTGAACTCACTGGCTTCATGAAGCCCACATGTGATTTTGGGAAAAGGGTGTGGGACTGAGGCACGGGTGACCATTGCTGTTCCTGTGGGCTCTGCTGTGGCCCCGCTTGCCAGACCTTCGTCTGGTGTTAGAGCCCAGGCACCGGCCCTGTTCTTCTCGCCCCCCATCCGCCCCATCCGCTCGGGGTCTGAAAGCTGCTGGCTCCTGTATGTTCGCCTTTCCCGCTCTTGTTGTCCTGCAGCCTGATTTCTTCCCCTTCCTGCCTCCCGTGGGGGTTGGCTGATTGGAGCCATCAGCCCACAGGGCTGTGCAGATGAAAAGGACGCTGGGGACCCAGGTTACTGTTAACAGGTCTTTGCGTTGGAGGTTCAGAGACGTTAAGTGACTTCCCCAGGGTCACACAGCCGAACTCCTAGGCTAGTCCCCTCTGCACGCCCACCCCCTTTCCTCTCCTGGGTCTCCAGTCCGGGGTCTGCCCCTTGCTAGCCCGATGACCTTGGCAAGTCGTAGCACTGTGCTTGTCAGTAAGATGGAGTCAGTCGCCTAGGAGCGTCTATTTAGCGTGGGAAAGTGCTGGGTGCCCAGTAAGCAGGCTTCAGACTTATCAGTCACCCCAATCTGACAGGCCCTTCCTGAGGCATTCAGGACCCTGCACGAGCTGCCTCCACCTGACGCTTCCCCAGCAGCCGGGGGTCTGGCTGTCCCAGAATACCCCTCCTTACCCCCTCTGAATTCACCATCACCCCTTACTCGCCTGGAACCCAGCACTGTCCTCATTTGCCTCTGCCTGCCCCGAGCAACTGCTGTAGCGTCAGCTCAACCCTCTCTCCCCGCGGCAAGCCTCCCATGGCCCCAAGCTTTCCTTTTCCAGAACCTTATCGGTCCTGGGGCCAGTTTCACCCAGGGCCTGGCTAGCCTCTCAAACACCCAGTTTCCGTTTCCTCACTGCTCCCTCCTGGTTCACGTTTCTCCTCCCAAGTCCAGGTCGGAGGACCAGGCCTGTGATCCCTCATAGGCGGTGCTTTGTAAACCCTGACTTCTCCAGGGGACGGTAGATATCCTTTGCACCCTGTAAATGCCTCTGCCGGCGAACTCGGATGTTGCTGGTGTGTCAGCCCTTCCCAAGCCTTCTTAGAGACTTCCATCCTTATTTTTGCTGGACAAAAATCTCAGGAGAAAAGATGGGTCTGCAGTAAGCAGGCTATTTGCATCTCCAATACCAAAACACTTCTTGGTTCAAAATAAACACTCAAAAAATGTTTGCTGGAAGGATGTTGAACAAGTGCACCCCCCCCACACACACACACACACCAGATGTGGAGGGGATTGCAAACCCGGACGCAGCCCGCCAGGAGTAGGAACGAAAGTGGAGCCGGGAGAGCGGACGTGAGGCAGTGGGGAGTGGCGGGGACTCTGGCGAGTGGCGAGCCCGTGGCCCTTTTAAAGGGGCTGTAGGCCTCACTTCCCAGAGTGTGGCCAGACGGCCTGGTGCTCTTTTGAAGCTTTAAGTCCAGCTTTTTATGCAATAGCTTCTGGTTTTGAATGCTGGCAACGGATCGAGATTTTTTAGAAAGCACCACCGTCCAAGCACAACACTTGTCACGCGCTGGCTCTGGTGGGTGGACTGCACCCGTTTGCAACCTGTGGACACTTGTCCCCTTTGGCAGTAAGCAGATGCCTCTGGGTGTCAGGCACGGTGCTGGCCTTGGCAGGAAACCCGGCTCAGCCAGGGAGACGTCATGCTGTCAGCCGCTGAGGTGAGCGCAGGCAGCTGCCCCCACGAGACTTTGTCCTCCCCCAGCCCTTCCCAGCTCTCAGCTATAGCCCCGCTATCTGCTAAAGACTGTTACACACTGTGTTCATGTCCTGGGGCTGCCGGGACAGACGACCACAGGCTGGGGTGCTGAAAACAGCAGCAGTCGATTCTCTCGGGGGGGACTGGAGCTGGTGGTCGGAAGCCAAGGTGTGGGCAGGGTCTAGGGGAGGCCCCTTCCTGCCTCTTCGGCTGGCGGTGTTTGCTGGCCGTCCGCGGCGTTCCTCGTGTTGTGGACACTTCACTGCTGTCCTTTTTCACATGGCCTCTCTATGTCTTCTCATGTCATCTTTCCTCCGTGTGTGTCTGTCTCCGCGGCCAAACTTCCCCTTTTATAAGGACACCAGTCCTATGGGATTAGGGCCACCCTGATGACCTCATTCCAACTTGATGGCCACGGTAAAGACCCAGTTTGCAAATCATGTCACATTCTGAGGTCCTGGGGGTCAGGACTCCAGCACCTTTTCTGGGGGGAGGGACACATTTCAACCCATAACACACACCACGCCCCCTGCAAGCTCTAAAGTCAATCATATTTGACTCTCACCGTGGCATCTCAAGGTGGATCACGTCCTTCTCTTTTTAACCACTTTTTTTAAGGTAGCTAAATTCCCAGAAGCGTTGCCAACATAGTACAGAGAATGTTTCGTCTCCCCGTCACCCAGCGTCCCCTGCTGCAAACATCTTACATGCGTGTCATACTTCTCAAAGCTAAGAGAGTGGCTGTGACCCAGTACCGTTAGCTAAGCCACGGACGCTCTTTGGATTTTCCCAGCTTTCCCACGAATGTCTGTTTCCTCTGGTCCAAGATCGGATTCAGGTTTCCACACTGCACTCTGTCGTCGGGTCCCCTCGGTCTCCAGTCTGTGACAGCTTGTCAGTCCTTCCCTCGGTTTTCCTGAGCTGCACACTTTTGAAGAGTGCCAGTCAGGGATTTTGTAGAATGTCCCTCGATTGGGGTTGGTCTGATGTTTCTTCGTGAGGAGGCTGAGCTTGAGGACTTGGGGGAGACCCTTTCCATTCTGGGTCCCTCATACCCACTGACCGGTGGTGACTGCCTTGCTACCTCGCTCAGGGTGGTGTCAGCCGTGTGTCTGCCCCACCCAGTCGCTGTCTTTCCTTCTGTCCCTGCTTTAGAGGCAGGTCGCCATGTCCTGCTATGGTCAAGGGCCGGGGAGCCCTGCTCCACCTCCTGGAGGAGGAATAGCCAAGAATTTGTGGGTGTGAGTTAAACGTCTGGGGGAGGTGCTGCGAGGCTGTGCAAACTCCTGTTTCTGCTACAAGCTGTGCCAACGCATTGACCATTCCTGCACAGACGCTGCGGGGCCGTTAGCGCTGTGGTGCTCTAATGGCGATTTTTTATTTCCGTCCTTCCTCCTAGGTTGATGAATTTGAATTCTGTAAGGAACATTCTTCCCTTCTCCTCCGTCTATTTATTTATTCCATCATTTATTTATATCAGTGTGGACTCACGGATATTTATTTTTTCCTTGGGTTCTAATCCAGCGTTATTTATTTTGCCGCTCACATTGTTCCAGCTTTGGCAGTTGGGACTCTTTTCGGGTTGGGTACTGTGTCCTTCGGATCTTTTTTTCTTTTCGGCACTTTTTTACTTTAACGGTGTTCTGGGCACATCGTATGTATTTCCCATCCCAGCTCTGGAATCAGCCGTTCCTGCAGGAAAAAGAAAAAATTGGAGAATGGTGCTGGAAAGCAAGACCTCAGTCCTCCTGGGCCTGTTGCCCTGGGCCCGTGTGGCTTCTTGCCCTTCTCAGCTGTCCATCTTTTTTTAAACCCAAATCCTTTGCTGTGTTGAAAGCCACATGGCCCTGGACAGCTGGCCCTGCCAGCCTGGCTCATGCCCTCCCCTCCGTGCCCTCTGCCCCTCCCCCACAGTCTACAGCCACATGGACCTCCTTCTGTCTGTCCTTCACATACGCTGAGCTTGTTGCCACCTCAGGGCCTTTGCATGTGTGGTACCCGCCGCTGTGTCCTTCTGGTGACCTAGAGCTCACCTCTCAGAGACTTACCTGCACCACTGACTCTCAAATAGCTCCTACCTCCCCTGTCACTACCGCACACCACCCCGTGTAAGTCCCCCAATCCAGGATGATCTTGAGGACCTTGCTCATTGTCTGGGTGACCTTGCTAAGTGTCACCTCCGTGAGGGCCGGGGGGCTTCACCTGTCCTGTGTCCCCAGTGGCTGGCACATAATACGTGCTCAGTAAACATTTGTTGACTGGCCACGGAGATGAATGTAGAATGTGATTGCTCCTATTTTGCGGATGAGGAAACTGAGGCGGAGAGAGACCTTCTGAGATCTGCTCAGACTTCTTGTTGGTGTGGTTCTGATCTCCACCTGTGTGACCAAGGACCCCCCCCCCCAGTGCCCACCCTGATCAGGACAGGGGAGGCTGATGTAAGCAGTGAGGCCTTTAGGTGGGGAGGCCCTGACCGATGCAAGGCCAGAATGACCCTGGGCGCCATCAGTGGGTGGGGCTGTTCCTTGGGGTCCAGAGAGTAGATAGGACGCTGAGCCCCACTGGGGTCCCTGGGCGTTCCAGGGAGGCACCGCTGCCCACATGCTTACTGCGGCCTTTCCCTCCTAATGGAGAAGGAACGTGCAGGCTCGTTAGCGTTTCGGATGTAAGACCAGGTAGTGAAGACCCCAGCTTCCTCCTGGAAATCAGCATAGGTCGTGGGGATCAGAGTGAGGGCAGCAGGTCCAGGGCATGCTCGTCGAGCCCAGGACGGAGGTGGGGTGGCTGGCCCCCGAAAGTGGCTGGCCCTGGCAGGGGGGCCTTCTGAGGCGGGGCTGTCTGTCTGCTGGGGGTGTGGGGGCAGAGAGGGACTCTCCTTGGGGTCCCTTTGTCAGATTGATTCCGGGCCCTTCAGCCCCTGTGAGGTGTGTGTTGGGGGATCTTGGCTTGTTCGTTAGGGCCTGGGGTGTCCCCCTCCCTTTGTCCTATTCCTGAGGTTGGGGTCCTGGGTGGCCTATGGGCCTGGTGCCTCCTGGAGGCTGGATGGGGTATGGCTCCCTGGCAGCGTCTGTGAGATTTTTTGGTGGGTTTTAGAGACTTCTGAGAATGTGAGGAAGTCCGGGAGCTCCTTCCCAGAAAAGTTGATGTTGCTGCACACCCAGATCTGAGCAAGTTCAGGGGCTCAGCGGCCCCCCAAGGCCTGTCTGGGACCCCACAGGCCCAGGACGCCAGCTGCGGCAATTGACTCGTGTGTTGGAGGTTGTGGGGAAAGGTGCCGAGAGAAAGGGGCCTCAGGTCTCTGGGCAGCTGGGGGAGGTCTGCCACCCCTTCCGCATCGGAGCTGTCGTCTCTGGGCCTCCTGTCTCCTCCTGTCACCCTTTCTTCAGAGCTTGCCTTTCTCTGCCTTCCTGCCTTCCCCCCATTCTCATGTCCCTTTCTGGGTCCCTGCCTGCTCTTTGGATCTCATCTCATTCCTCTTCTCTCTCTGCCTCTCCCCTCTTCTCTGGGGCTCCTGTCTGTCTACCTCTTCCCTCATCCTGGTGACCCTGTGTCTCTGCCTGTGTTCCTCTCTGAGCGCCTGCATCTTCCCCAGGGAGCACCCGTTGCCTTCTGAGTCCTAGTGCTGGGTGTGGCCCTTTGGCCGAGCGCCCCGAAGCCCAGAGGGGCTCAGCTTCCTGGCCTGAGGGTTCTGCTGTGCTGGCGCCCACCAGCCCGTTGCTGTCCTGCCTATATCACCCCCACTGCTGCGGCAGAGGTGCCTGGAGCCCAGAGCACAGCGCTTGGTGGGCGCCAGCCTCGGGGACACCAAGGCCAGACCCCAAGACCCCACCTGTGTGCAGCTGCAGGTGTGGGGTCTTGGTCTCCCCGGGCTGTGTTCCTGGTCTGAGGCTGTGGATATGTCTCTGTGGCCAGTTTCTGCATCAGTCCCAGGCTGAGGGGAGCCCGTGTGGCGGGGAGTGATGGCAGCTTCAGACGAGGGCAGGAGGCCACAGATAACTCGCCCACTCAGAGCCCCTTTTCTGCAGACCATGCTCAGTCTCATTGTGGGTGGGGGCACTTTGGGGTTGGGGGAGAGGAAGACGCACATTGGCAGTTGCTGGCCTGCTCTGGGGGGTTCCGGGTGTGTCCTGTCTCCCCGAGAACCAGTAATGGGCCAACATGGGCCTGGCTCTCAGGAACAGGTCAGGACGGACGGGGCCCGGAGCCTGGCAATGCTGACCCGCCCCGCTTGGTGTCTCTCCTTCCCGCGTAGAAACCAGGCGATGCGGAAAAAGCTAATTTTGTACTTCAAGAGGAGGAATCACGCCCGGAAGCAATGGGTAAGTCCCCCCCCACCCCCCGCGGCCCCCACCCTGGAACCTCGTCCTGGCCCTCGTGGGCCGGGCTGGAGAGCCCGAGACCCGCCGGGACCCTTCGGTTCTGCAGCTCTCTCATTCCTGCATGTCCAGGCTGTGAAGAAAATCCAAGGCCAGTGGGACAAACGGGAGGAGAGAGCAGCCGCTCAGTGAAGCCCGGGGCTCGCGCTTGGCTGCCCCAAGGAGGCCTGGGAGCGGCTGGGCCCAGACCTCTGCCGCTGCCTTTCCAACCTGGATGGGGAGACGGCAGACGTTGGCCAGGAAAATGGGTTCCTCGTCAGAGGACCTGTTGGGTTCTCATAGGCAGAAAGAGAGAGGTCTGTTGTGAGAGGCGGAGGATGAGGGGGCAATGGGTGTCATGATGCACGGGGCTCCCTTAGGAAGGAGGCTTTCCCGGCGGTCAGCGGCTGCATCAAAACAGTCAGGATGCCCACTCCTGCGTCCAGCCAGGAAGGCATGTGTGAGGGGACACGGGCAGCTGTGGCTTAGGGTAGCTGCTTATGTTGTGGGGGGTTAGGGCCCAGTGATGCAGGGGGAGCTACCCTCGCCTTTGGTGCTCCTCAGCTGTGAGGGGAAGGGGAGCTGGGTCAGGTGGGCTTAAACAGTAAGGGCATTTGTGTAGCTGAAAAAGCCCACCGGGTGGAGTTCAGGAGCGGTTCGATCAGGCTCTACCTTCATTTCTGTGCAGTTTTTTTTTCAACTCTGTCCATTAGGACATTGACAGACTGGTTTCTCTGTGGGCCCTGAATTCCTGTAGCAGGTTTGAGAGCTGCCGTTTCTCATACCATCTCACAAAAGCTCTGATGGGACAACTTCAGGGCATGGGTCCCTTTGAGTCAGTTTCTGAACTCGCCTTGCCCTGGGCCCAGACCTCGGCTGAGTCCTCAGAGAGGACACTTTTGGCCCGGATGGTGGGTGACTGCGAAGCTGAGTGGGTGGCACCTTGGACTCCCAGGGGTGGGAAGAGGCAGGCTTCCTAGCCTTTCCTTTTCAACTTCCTCAGACCCCCAGATTGATAGGTGGTGACCAGAGGCACTGGGCAGGGAGAATGGGGTTCACGAACCTGGGCGTCCCATCTTAATCATTCAGTTAAACATTTCCCAGGGACCTGCTGTGGGCCTGGCACAGTGCTGAGCTGTGCTGAGCTGCGGAGGCGGGGAAGTGCTGTGCACGGGGGTGGGGGTGGGGACAGCCTGCGTGTCCCTGGGGTGATGACCTCAGTACTGAGGTGGTAATAACAGGAAAAGACCAGCTGTGTGAAGATCTGGAGGTCAGAGTGTCAGGCAGAGAGCCAGCAAGTTCAAAGGCCCTGGGGCAGGGACGGACTTGGGGTGGCACAGGACAGAATGCAGCAGGCAGGTCCACTGAAGGTGGGGGGGGGTGTGATCTTGGGAACCAGATCACCTAGAAATGTTTACCCCTCAACTAGGATGGGATGTTTAGATTTTATTATAAACACAGTGAGACACTTAATTTACTCTTAATAAATGTGTTCTTGATACGGAACGCCAAGTCTTCGTTATAAGAGTTCTCAGTCATACAAGTTTGCCACGCTACTGTGAACACCTGTATACCCCGTTGTCCTGCCTGGGGTTGGGGGGTTGGATTTATTTTAAAAGGATCCCCGTGGCTGGCAGAGTAGAGTTGGGGTGGGTGTAAGTTCTTAAGAAATCTCAAATGTCTCCTTCGGGGTCCCTTACGCGCGTGGAAGGGGAATCAGCTTATTTAAAGATACAGGAACTGGAGACTTCTAAGAAATTCCCGGTGGCCCTTGTGAAAAGGAATTGAGAAACCACAGAATTCGCAGAAGCTGCTACAGGACGGTGTGTGGAATGATCTGGTTCCTGTTCTCATGTGATGAGCCCAAAGCCCTGACTGCATCCGGGTTCAGCAAGGCCTGGGAGGGGGCTCGGCCAGGATGGCCCCAGGCCTCGGCTATATGGCCCGCCTGGCACCCAGGACTTCTGCAGCCTGAGCGGTGGGCAGGACGCCTGTGCGAGCTCCCGCCTCGTCACCCTCATCTATCACCGAATGTGTGGAGAGAGGAGGCTGGAGCCCCCATTCTCAGGATAGCCAGGGGGGGACACATTCTTGGGGTTCTGCGGTCCCATCCTGCTAAGCCCTGCGAAAGGCCTTTATGGGGGTGGCCACAGGCTCCGTGCAGGTCTGGGGGACGCTGGGCTCCAGCCACCCTCCCTCCCTGTCCCTTGGCCTGAGGCTGTCTTCCCTATGTCTCATTGTCCCCGAAACACAGAGCTGCACTCCGCCACACCCGGCAGGGCAGTTGGGGTTTCAGATCCTGGCCTTGCTGGGTGACCGGGGCAAACCATTTACCTTCTGGCTTCAGTTTCCTGTTCACTGGGGATCATGTTAACACCCACCTCTTTGAGCTGCTGAGTGATAAGCTGCACGCAGAAGGAGCTCAAAACGGGCAGCTGCAAGCTGACCCCAAAACTCACATGGGATGGCAAGGGACCCCGAATCGCCAAAACAATCCTGAAACAAAACAACCAAGTTCGAAGACTTCCTGCCCGATTTCAGACATGTCACAAAAGCTCGTCATCCCAACTGTTTGGTGGTGGCGTGAGGACAGACACCGAGGCGAGTGGACTAGAACAGAACCCAGAAACAAGCCCTCACATCTGCGGCCAGTTGGTGTTTGACAAGAGGCCAAGTCCATTCAATGAGAACGGACGGCCTCTTCAACAGATGGCACTGGGACAACTGGACATTTACACACAAAAGAAGGAGGGGGACCCCCCCACCTCACAGAATTAACTCAAAATGAATCAGAGGCATACGTGTACGAGCTAAAACCATCCAATTCCTAGGGGGAAAACCCCCATAAGGATGCATCTTCACGACCTTGGATTTGGCAGTGGATTCTTGGGTCTGACACCAGAGGCACAGACAACGACGGAAAAGGAGGTGCACTGGACTTCACCAGAATAAGTGTCCCCGGTCCCTAACTGCCATCTGGGCAAGGGGCCCCGAGTCCCACCCGTGCAGGGGACGGACGGTCACTGCCTGCGTGGGTCTGGGTGAGTCAGTCCATGGAAGGACTCAGCTCTGAGCTTGGCATGTGACACGATAGCACTCAGCCTGTGTCATGGTGGCGATGGTGGTGATGATGATGGAGAAGAATTCTGGCTGACGGGGAGCAAGAGGCCCAGAGGGTGACTTGTCTCTTGAACATGCACGGCGGCCCTGCTCCTGTGTGTGCGTGCGATCTGCTTTCTCCCCTGGCCAGCGGATCCCCCCTTGGGGAAGCCCCCACTGAGCAGCGTCACTGCTGCCCCAGGGAAGGGCTGTTGCCAGCCATCTGCAGTGCAGTGGACACAAGCACAGGTGACAGCAGGTGGCACTGCGGTCAGATGTGGAGGGGGACTTCCTCGTGCTGGACTGTCTTGAAGAGCTGCTCGGGTCTTTGCACTCAGTGCGTGGGGCTGGGCAGCACGGCTGAATGTCCCCTCAGAGCCATTCCCGCCATGTCCTTTTGTTCCACCTGACTCCATGAGGGCCCCAGACAGGCTGGCGCATCTTGTCACTCCCTCCCTATGGGTGGCTTGTCTTTGCCAGCTGCATTATTTTCCTCTGTTCGTTTTTGGTTCACATTTTCTCACCTTTCCTTGTCTGACACTTCTCGCTCTTCACCCATCAGACTGAGGCCTCTCTGGGGGGTGTGGAGAGGGCAGAGAAGGTCCTCATTCTGACAGCCTGGACTGGCATCCCTCGTCCAGTCCCCATCCCTGGGGGCAGCTTTCTTGGCACACTGCCACAAGCGGCTGTGGGGCCTTTAGAAGCTGGGGTCAAGTTTTTCTCCCCGATCCAAGCTTGCCTGACCACCCCTTGGGGACAGTAATGCTGCTGGATTTGCTGAGGACCAAGGTCAGAGGCTGAAACACAGGTGGGGTGGGGTGTCGGCACGAGGACCAGAGAGGGCTTTTCTGACTGTGCTGAATTGTCGAGAAGGCGTTCAAGCGAGACTCCTAGACCGTGCCATCTGTCCACCGCAGCTGTTAGAGATGGGGGGGACCGGCGTCTCATGGGCGACTGGATGCGCCCCACCTGCTCGAGGGCCAGGTCACCTTGGAGACTCGCGAGCTAGTCAGCTACGTTCTGGGCCAGGCGGGGGTCTTCTCTCCAAGGATGTAGAGCAGGTGGCACTGTGGTTCGACACAGAGAGGGACTTTCTTGCCTTGGATGGATGGCAGATGGGTGTTCACACCCAGCCCCTGGGCCTGGGGAGCACGGCTGAACCTGAGGCTGGGAGGAGCCGTTCAGAAAGGGGGTACTTCCCAGGCCCCCTCCCCCAGGCCCGCCTGACACCCAGAGCCGCTTGGTCCAGCACAGCTTCCTCAGTGATAGACATGGCCGGTGTGTGCTGTCCACCAGGGCGGTGGCCTTAGCCACATGTGCCTGTCGAGCCCTAGAAATGTGGCGGCGGGGACCAAGGATCTTAATTTTATGTGATTTGAACTTAACTGCCCCATGTGGCTGGGGGCTTCCGGATCCAGCAAGGCCTTTCTTGAGGGAGGCCAGGCGGGCGCGGCCGTTCCCCAGGGAAGGAGTGGCCAGGTCCTGGGGGGGGGGGCGCTGTGGGTTTTCTGCCCAGGCCTCGCATGGTCGTGCGTGTCTCGTGTCCGTGACCTTGTGACGGTGCATGTGGAGCGGGCAGGGAGCCAGGGGGCTGTGTGTCCAGATTCGGGAGCCCCTTGAGCAGCGCTCCCCCTGCCCCCCCAGGAACAGAAGTTCTGCCAGCGCTATGACCAGCTCATGGAGGCCTGGGAGAAGAAGGTGGAACGCATCGAGAACAACCCCCGGCGGAGGGCCAAGGAGAGCAAGGTGCGCGAGTATTACGAGAAGCAGTTCCCTGAGATCCGGAAGCAGCGGGAGCTGCAGGAGCGCATGCAGAGGTGAGCCAGGGCCCGGCTCCCCGCCCTCCTCCAGACAGGGCCGGCAGAAGAGCCCGGCCTGTGTGAAATGGGACCGTACAGCAGGGTCTCAAACTGGTGGCCCAGGGGCCACGTCGGGCAACTTGGGTGTGTCACACACAGCCTGCTCGGCCTTAATACTTAACTCAAGACTTAAGTCCATTGCAGCGAGCAAGCTGTCCAACCACTGCACGCTGGGCCGGTCCCTACCTACCTACCTACCGCCAGCGTCATTCACTTACGTGGCCCGCACGGCCCCGGAAGGCAGCTTGAGTTTGAGACCCCTGGTGTGGACATAAGGGGAGAGGACCACCTGGCTTGGATCAGGATGTGGTTCCACAGGGCGGCCGTGAGGACTGAGTGAGATTGCGTGTAGGAGTGCCCGGCGCACAGTAGGTGCTCGCTGATGTGTGGCTGTAGTTTCTGTCCTGTTTTCTTTGGTTACGCGGATAAGGTGCCGGGCCACGAGCAGTGATCATACGGATCTCACTGTTGACCGCACACTCACAGTGTCTCAGAATGCCTCCTCCAGCAGCCCTGGGGCTGGTGCCACTCTTGTCTCCCTGTTACAGGGAGGAAACCGAGGCACAGGTCCACAGAGGCGGAGCTGGGATTTGAACGTGGATCTGTGTGGCTGGGCTTCTTTTTGGCATCTTAGGAGAGAAGAAGAGGTGGAGCCCCCTGCCGCCTCTGGGTTCTGGCGTTCCTGGGTCAGGGTCGGGGGCCCCGTGCCTTCCCCCCCAGGCCCCTCCTTGCTGCCAACACGCCGCCCCTGGGGAAGTGGTGGGCTGAGGCCTGCGCTGCGGGACTGGCCGTGCGTCCCTGACTGCTGAGAGGCCGGCCGGTCCTGACTGTGTGTCCCTTTGGTTTCCAGCAGGGTGGGCCAGCGGGGCAGCGGGCTCTCCATGTCGGCCGCCCGCAGCGAACACGAGGTATCCGAGATCATCGATGGCCTGTCGGAGCAGGAGGTGAGCGCATGGCCGTGACTCGCGTTCACCCTGGATGGTTGAAATCAAGGGCTTGCTGCTGAAGTGTGGGCAGGACCAACCAACACGGGATATTGAGGCCCTGAGGGAGTAGCCGTCGCCTGTCCCCAGCCCTGAAGGACCAGCGGAGAGGGTGTTCCTGGGTCCATCCTGGGAGGCCACCAGGCAGGATGTGGCTCCATCGTGACGCCACAGCGGGGAAGAAGCGGGGGACCAGCACCCCGGCCCCTCTCTCCTGCCTCCCATTGGCTGAAGCTAGCTGGAAGGCCGAGGGCAGGGGTCCCGAGAGCTGTGGTTTCTAGGTTGGCCTCCAGGTGCCCAGAGCCTGGGCGCAGGGACAGTTCCTAGCACACCCGCTGTCCACCAGGCAGGGACTGACTTGTGTCAGGACTCGCAGCCCTGCCAGCTCAAGCTTGGCCTCTGTTTTCCCATGGGCATCCTTAAGGGACGCCTGGGCATCTGGAGTTCAGCCTGGGTGACCCTGACTGGTCACTGGAGCCGAGAGGTGGCCAGGAGACAGAGAGAGAGGAGGTGTTTGCTCCTGGGGGAAGGGCTGGTGTCTTCCTGTCCCCTCCTGGACCTTGTAGGTCAACCATCTGATGTGCCAGTCGCCCCACCCCCTTGTTCCCCGGGGGCACATTTCCTCCCCCTGGGACTTTGGTCCAGATGGGACATATTGGAGCCCCAGCTCAGTGCAGTTGCCACCAGCCACATGTGGCTGTTCAAATTGAAATGAACTAAAATGAAATGAAACGAAAACCCAGGGCTTCAGTCTCACCAGCTGCGTTTCAGGGGCTCGGTAACTGCGTGTGGCCAGTGGCTCCCATTGCACGTTCTGTCGGACAGCGCTGCTCTGGCTGCTGATTCTCCAGGGGGACAGATGGGAGTCCTAGGGGACGGGTGTCCGGGCTGATTCAGTGTCCCCAGGTCCTGACCACATGAGAGTGTAGCCACCAGCGTCCTCGGGCGTGGAGGGAACAGCGACCTGGGGATGGTTGGCAAGGGAACTCGGTGCTGAATCTTGACCTCAGCAGCCTGGGCCGACTTGAAGTCCCCTGGGAGGGTGGGAAGGGGGGGAGGACTGGGCAGAGGGGAGATGCTACCCACTCTCTGGGGGAGCTGTCAGCAGTCGGCACAGGCCCCATTTGGGAGAAGCAGAAAGGCAGCCGAGGGGCAGAGCCCGTGATGGTCCTTGTGGTCTGCCATTCCTCGTTTCTCGGGCAGCTGGGGACTGAGGGATTTGGAGGACTGCTGTGACGCGGGGGCTGCTCAGGCCTCCATGGGGGCCCTTCTCCCAGGCAGGTCAGGCTGTGCCCCCGCCCCTTCGCCCCCTGTTCCTGTTGGGAGTCCCGGGCACTGGATGGAGAGGTTGGATGGGGGAGGCTGGGAGGGATCCTTTGAACCGGCTGACCTTGGCCGGGCTGGGCCCTCTCCTGCCTCCGGAGGTGGGTAATTAATGGCCGGTAATGGGCTGCTCTGGAGATTTGGGGAGATGAGCCCAGCCGAGTGGCAGCTCAGAGCCTCTAACAGCCATCCCCATGCATTAGGAGCGAGCCCGCCCGACGCCTGCTGTGCTCGGGCTGGGCAGGGCCGGTCCCAGGTGGGCACGTGTGGCGGAGCTGGGCGCCAGGGCGTGGGTGGGCGGCTGGGGAGGAAATGGTTGTGTGGTGTCATTGGCTCTCCCAGAGCGAGGCGGCCCCTCTCCCCGCCCTGCGTGCCCTCTGCATCTGGATGGCCAGGCCTGTCTCCTGAGCGCGGTTGGCCCAGCCGCACTGAACACCTTCCCTGCGGTGTTTTATGGCGCTTGCATTTCCAAAGGGAAGATTCATTGCTCCCCTCTCACTGCAGATGGGGCAACTGCTGCTCTCTGTACCTAATTTACAGCCCTGCCCACCATAAACCTGTCGGGGGCTGCCTTTAAATTCTCCCTCCCTCCAGCACGGGCTGTGATTATTTTTTCACTCATCATCCTCTTTCTCTCTGGTTTCACCTCGTCCTGCTCTCGCTCAGAACATTCGTTCCCGCCACACGTCACCTGGGTCCCCATCGCCGACAGGCACGCCTTCTCCCTTCCCCCGCTGTGTCCCCGTCCCCCTCTCTCTGTCTCGCGTGCACTCTGACCCCGTGCCTTGCCCACGTCCCTGCAGAACCTGGAGAAGCAGATGCGCCAGCTGGCCGTGATCCCGCCGATGCTGTACGACGCCGACCAGCAGCGGATCAAGTTCATCAACATGAACGGGCTCATGGACGACCCCATGAAGGTGTACAAAGACCGGCAGGTCATGAACATGTGGAGCGAGCAGGAGAAGGAGACCTTCCGGGAGAAGTGAGTCCCCTGTCGCTCGGGGGAGCCAGGCCCGGCCACCACGGACCCCTCTGCCCTCCCCTGTCCTGAGCCCCGACAAAGGACCGCAGACTGGGTGGCTTACAACCACGGGAACTTGTTATCTCGGCCCTAGAGGCCCAAGGACCTCCAGAGGTCCAAGATCAAGGTGTCAGCAGGGTTGGTTCTTGCTAGAAGCTCTGAGGGAGAATCCGTTCTGTGCTCCCCTCCTGGGCTTCCGGGGGTTTCTGGCACTCTGTCATTCCTTGGTTTGTACCTGGATCACTTCATCTCCGCCTCTGTCTTCTCATGTTTTATTTCCCGTGTCTTCTGTGTCTCTTCTTCCCTCCTTGGAAAGACACCAGTCACGTTGGCATCAGGGCCACCCTGCTCCGTATGACCTCATCTTAACTCCTTATATCGGCAGAGAACACATTTCCAAACAAGGTCTCATCCTGAGGTTCCGGGTGGACATGCGTTTTAGGGGACACTATTCAAGGACAGAGTGTTAAGGCAGCCTTATGTGGGACGAGGCGGCCTGTACCGGAGTCACAGGCGGGAGGGTCTTTGAGGCTGGGCTGCAGCCTCGGGCAGGGATCCGGCTGCCGGTGGTGGTCATTTCACTTTGAAAGTGGTGGTTTGTTGAACACTCCATCCCTGTGCAGATGTTGTCTGGGTTTTTGTGCATGTTCCCCTCCTCTCAACAGCATTGCCAGGTGAGGAAATAGGCTCAGAGAGGTTAAGACACTTAACAAAGGCCACGCAGCTTGCAAATAGTAGAGGCAGGATTCGCACTCCCCCAGCTTGGGGGCAAGGGCTCTGCTGGAATGAGAGGCTTGTGGGGAAGGGGGATGGGGCCAGGGAGCAGAGGGCTTTGGGAAGCAGAGGCAGAAGCTGGTGCTAAGAAGTAAAGCTTGGAGCCTCTAAAATGTAAGAGCAGCATGACTGAGTGTTCAGGTAGGTGAGTGCGGAGCTGCCGGGTAGAGAAAACCCTCCTCCCCCACTTCCCAAACTGAAAATTTGTGTCCCAGGGACCCACACCCTGGGCACAGAGTGCTTCTTTGGGGTCCCTGTGAGGCAGGAGGGGGTGAAACTGAGGCGTGGACAGAAAGAAGCCTCAGTGCCCTCCCAGGAAGCCTGTGGGCATACCAGACTCGGCCTGCTTAGCCGCTGGCCTCCACATTGGGCTCCCCACCTCTGGAGAAGGTGGACAGTCTTCAAAGAGATGAGGCAGGGCCTGGGGCCAGCTCTGCCTTTCCAGGGGTGGGGGATGGGCGATTCTGGGTCACGGGCAAGGCCGGGGCCTGTTAGCCAGTGCAGACACCAGGACTTGACAATGCAGGAGAAGCAGTCCAAGAGGGTCTCGGGTGGAAAATAATACCCTTTAGAATAGCTCTCAACTATGGAAATTTTAAAACTTACTGAGAAATAGAGGGATGGTATCCCAAGCCAAGCGCCCGTAACACAGATTCTGCAGTCTCCCGCAGGAAGTAGCACTTTGGGGAGCAGTTCCCGTGGTGTGTTTGGGGTTTAAGTGCCAAGACAGAAAGGCCCATTCCTTGGTGGCTTCTGCTGGGTCCTCACAATCACGGACAGGGCTGTTCCACCATCAAATCAAGTCCTACCTACAAGGTATTATACAATTGTAAGCCAGTGAAGTGACTATGGAACAGTCAAGGATGCTGAGAATTTCTGTTGTGTTAGGTATTTAAATCCCCCTGGTATGTGGGATGTGTTTATTGACTTATGCTATCTTGGGGGGGGGGGGAAGGTGTTTCTGGGTGCTTTCTGTGTTTCTGCCTTTCTGGAAATTTCATGTTGCTGTTCAGACTTAGTGAGCTCACACTGTTAATTCACTCGTGGAAGACCAAGGGCCCGGGGCTGGGCGATGTCTGTAGAGACGTACTTTGGCAGCACATGTCTTTCAAGGAATGTGGTCCTGGTTGAGGTCTCATTTTCAGTGGAACTGATAGCACTCAGGGCCTTTGAAAGTCACATACCGGTGGCATAGAGCTTCCTCATTACTGGCTTCAGGACCTCAAGCAAGCCACTTCCCCACTGTGAGCCTTAACATCTCCATCTGTAAAATGGGTCCGCAACAGCGCCTCCCAGTTTGGCTGTTGTGAGGTGCCCAGTCATAGTCAATTTTAAGTCCTCAGGAATCGTTGGCAGAGGATATGGGTATAGGTTGGAGGGAGGTGGGACAAGTGACCTAGGAGATTCCCAGGTTTGATTCCTGGTCTCCTGGGGGCCCGTCTATGCTTGGGGAAACCCCGAGGAAGGGATTTGGGGGGAAGGAAATGTCCCTGGGGCAGAGAGAGGGAGGGGAAGGGAAGCCTGTCTGTCTGGAAAAGAAGGGAGTTAGGCTGGCTCCAGCTTTGCAAGCTGCCTGAGGCGAGATCCCAGGCCGGGAAGCCTGCCGACTCGCAGCTTCCTCCGGGAAAAGAGAAGAGGCCGTTCCGGTGTCTGGTTGGGGAGCAGGGGAGGGGCCCGCTGGCTACCTGCCCAGCCATCTGGAGGGCCGGGTGCTGGCCCAGGCTCCCTCGGGGGGACCCGGGGCCCCTGCCTCACCAGCAGCCTCCTCTTTCCCTGAGGGAGGCCGTGGGGCAGTGGCATGGGGATGACCAGACCCAAGCCTGGGCCCAGGCCAGTGACTCCACCCAGCATCCCTGGGGCCTGGAGCAGCCGTGACCCACATCTCCGCCCCCGCTGTCCGCCTGCTCCTTTGGCCCTGACATTTCAGCCTGGCCGAGCTGTTTCCCAGTAACTCTCCCGGCTTCGCAGGAAGCCAGTTGGTGGGACGCCAGCTCCCGCCACCCCCTCGGCTTTAGTCCCTTCTTGCCGCCTCCTTGGCTGGCCTGCCTCCTGCCCACCTCCCTGAGGGCACTCAGAGCCTCTGCTCCCACTGCTAGAGACCTGACCTGTGACCTCGCTGGTGGGGACCCCCGCGTGGGCCGGGCGAGGCCCAGCTTCCCAGGCCCAGCTGGAGATAGAAACAAGAGCAGATTTAAAAGGGGGGACCCACCAAAGAGCTGCATGTAATGTCCTCATTTTTCCTGGAAGCCGCCTCCAGCAGGACAAACAAATATATTTTCAAAGGCGCTAAAACCAGTGACTCACTCCAAGGAACGCCCTCTCTGAGCCCTTGGCCCGCCCGCCCAGCCCTTCCCACACCCCCCTGAGCTTAATTGCTCCCGAGTGGGCGGCGCCCGCCCAGCCGGGCCAGCAGAGATGGCAGGCGCCCGGGAGCTCAGCGTCCGCCCAGCTGGGAGGCCCCCCTCGGCCTGGTCTCAGGCCCACCCTTCTCTTTCCACAGGTTCATGCAGCACCCCAAGAACTTCGGCCTGATCGCATCTTTCCTGGAGAGGAAGGTGAGTCGCTGCCCGCCGGCCCGGCTGCCTCTTGTTTAGCTGCTCCTGCGTTCCTGCGTCCACGCCCGTGGGCAGCCACTGGGCTGGGGCGAAGGGCCCTTTCTCCCTACCCACGAGGCCTCTGCTGGTTGCCCCTTGCCCCCCTTGCTGTGTCTGTCAGTCCTTCCCTCCTTCCTGAGTGAAGCAGCCTCAGGCCCCGCCCTGGCCTCCCGGGCCCACAGGGGCGGAGCTTCGGGCTGGGAATCCCCAGGAGAGCTGCGTGCAGGGCGTCTAGAGCCAGCACCTCAGACGTGGCAGCCAGCGTTCTCACACACTGGCTGTGGGTTCTGACACCATGGCGTCCTAATTAAGGCTTTATAGGCAAGAGTGGCGTTCTTCCAGGGCGCTGGATAGAATGACCTTTCTAGGTGCCTGTGATGGTCACTGTATGCTGACACTCCTGATGCCAAGCCAGGCGCGTGTGGCCAGCGAGTCCCCACCCCCTTCAGACCCACTTTCCCATAGCACCTACAGCTGAACCCCACCTTGCCCCCCAGACCCAGCCTGGGGCAGCTCCCCGCTCTGCTCCGGCTCCCACCTGTCAGGTAGACACAAGGCGTCCCCAGAGGCAGCAGAGCCCCCTTTGTGCATCCCTGAGGCTGGGCTGTGCCCGCAGCATCCCAGGGCAGAGTGGGAATGGGTTCCCGCAATGGTTTACCTTCTGGGGCTGCTGTTCTGGGTGTTTTAAGCAGCGTTTTCCTGAATCTTGTATCTCAGAGGCAGGGCATCTGCCCACCCGTAGCTTCACCAGTGCCCTGCAGCCTGAGGTCTCCAGCTTCTCACTGAGGGTGGGCAGTGGAGCGGGAGTCAGGAGGTTATTGTCAAGGGTCCCAGCTCCGCCCTTAATGAGCTGCTAAGCATAGAAAGAGGGGTATGGGGTGGAGTGGGGGGCAGGGGGTATCTTCCCTTACCTGAAAAACCAGCGCAGAGAAGCAACCCCGCTAAAGAGCCTTTCCCCTGAGTTAGTGACGGCGACTTGATAAGGGTATGAACACCGCAGGAGGCTTTAGGTTAGGGCTTCCGGGGATGGGGTTACGGAGACTGGTTGGGGTTGAGGGAAAGAGAGGTCCCCACGCTGGAGAGTAAACTGTGTTTACCATGTTCTTTGGCTAAGACGTGGCTCAGGACAAGACTTAGAGCTTCCAGAAGGGCCTGAAGCAGGGGTGGGTGCCCACAGCACCCCATGCCAGTCCTGACAGTGAGTGAGGCCGACGGCAGGGCGGGAGCTCGGTCACCTGGCTGGCACAGCTGCTGCCTGGGGGTGTTCACGGTCACCCGGGAAGGCAATGTCCTAAGTTCAAGGGGAACTTGGACACCCACATCGCCCGATTTGCAAATACTGGCATCTGATTATAGAATGATTTTCTTCAGTGCTGTGCAGGCCTGACTTAGCCTGGGAGCAGCCTCTGTTCACGGTGCATTCTGGGAGGTGGGAAGGACACGGGGTTCTGAGGCCCAGCCCACCTCTGCACCCAGCAGCGCCTATATATTTCCCCTCAGAGGCGAGTTCTTGGCATAGCACCGGCTGTGAGTGTCACAGAAACATTGTACATTGTGTCAGTAACGGCTGCCGGCATTAACGAGCTGTCACCTGGAGCAGGGCTGGTGGCTGCAGGTGGCAGGCCTCACTGCACTGAGTCTCCCAGCCCTCTAAGGATGCCTTCTGACTGGTCCCATTTGGACAAGGAGGTGGTGGGGCTCAGGACAAGGACGTGGAAAAGACCAGGGCCGAGAAAAGACGTCAACATTTCAAAGAGATAAAGAGTTGCATGGGGACATTAGTCAGGCTGGGTGCACGGAGCTTGGAGAGGTTTCTGTTCAGCGCCCCAAATATTAGAGACGGCTGGGATGAGAGAAAGGAGACCCCAGACCTGGGATGGGGTCCCAAAGTTAGCCCCACTGGGAGCCGGAAGCCTTGTTCTCCCTGGCTGGGGATGGCAGATGACAGCTTTGTCGTCACAATTACCTGTAGCAACAGCAATACTAATAGGCAACACCTCTGCAGCCTGTCCTCCATGCCAGGTGCTGTCCTAAGTGAGAACACAGACAGGTTAGGTAGCCTGGCCAAGGCCACGCAGCCAGGACGTGTGGGAGGCAGGATTGGAACCCAGGCCTTCAGGCTCCTGGCCCCCTGCCCTGACCGCTGATTCTGAACACTCCTCCGTGCCCTTCTCTCTCCGCCTCACAGACGGTGGCTGAGTGCGTCCTCTATTACTACCTGACCAAGAAGAATGAGAACTATAAGAGTCTGGTGAGACGGAGCTACCGGCGCCGCGGGAAGAGCCAGGTGAGAGGCGGGGGCGAGGCATAGGCCTTCGGGGCCGGTTCCCAGCATGCTCAGCGGGCTCTGTGTGATGGGCACTGCCGTCGCTGCACATTCTCAGGTTGGGCGCTCCTCAGTGGTAGTTTGGGTCCACCTGCTGGGGGCTGCTGGCCGATCCCAGCAGCCGAGAAGAGAGCTAGGAGACATTGGCTGCTTCAGTCTCAGCTGGAAAATTCTAGAACTCAGCTTGGCGACCCGTCGTCCCTGTGGTTAAAAAGGGCCACATCCCCAGAGCAAGAGCTGGGTTCCCAAGATGACGTGGGCTGGTCCACAAACTTAACATTTAAAAATTTTTTTAGTAGTTTCGCGTGTTTATCTTCATGCATACTTGCAAGAAAAAAAAATAGCCAGTGCTTCAGCCTGTCGTTTCTCAGGCTTCACTGTTTAGGATGAGACGGAAGGGTTATTTAAGCTAGAGCAGGGCTTGGCGAACAACGGCCCACCACCTGTTTTTGTAAATAAAGTTTTATTGGCACACAAGCCACGCCCACTCACTCACACATCACTCTGGCAGCGCTTCTGTTACAACAGCTGAGTTGAGTCGTGACAAAAACTGCAAAGCCTGAAAAACTTCCTGTGTGGCTCTTCCCGGAAAAAGCCTGCTGATGTCTGAGTTAGAGGGAAAAGGGGTTGGTTTAAAAAAAATATTCTGTCAATAATAGTGACGATGGCGCGGGTCAGGGACACACGTTTCAAAGCGGGACTGTGAGTGCTTGGTGTTTGGGAGACGAGGGAAGTGGACGGGATTGCTTCTCTTTGGCCTGTTGAGGATCGGCCCAGAGCAGGTGCTGGGAGCACCTTGTGGTGGGTGGCGGCTTGTGCTCCGGTCGGAGGATTTGGGCTGACACTGCAGAGGGCGTTGGGCACTGCTGTTCGATGCCAGACTGGAGCTAGTTGAGGCATGTCCTTCTCTGGGGCCACTGTGGCCTGGGGGAGCTCAGGGGAGAGGGACAAAGGCTGGGAACGCATGAGCTGGGGTGATAAGACCTGAGGTTTTCTAGGTGGGTATGTACCCTCTGACACTGGCGTCGTCAGGCTCCGCGTGGGCTGCCTGCCTTCCCTATCCCTGGCTGGCGAGGGCAGGACCCTGAGTTCCGCCATTACCAGTGGGGTCCCCTTGTCCACTGTGAAACAGCCACGCGGAGATCAAGCTCCACTGCCTGCGACAGGCTTGTCCACACGGCCTCCTAACGTGCACCCCGTGTCTCCTTTCTTGCTTCCCGGGAGCTATGCTTCAGGAGTAGGGCCTGCTACCCTGTTGGCTAAGCCACGTGTAATTAGGGAAGTAAACCTGGTGACGGGATAGACACTCGCTCACTGTGCTCCGAACGTCAGGCCAAAATTATTGGGACTGAGCATCGGCCCTCGATGGCCTGGATCCTTGAGGGGTGGCTGCGTTCGGCTTGTGGACCGGGTTTTCCTCTCTAGCCTTGTGTAGCCATAGTCGGTCAGCCCACTCGCCCATCTCACGGACGTGTAAAACCGAGGCTCTGCTGGCTTGAACTTACTTAATTCCAAACACCTAGCTGTGGCATCTTAGAAAGTGAAGTGCATTCAGGAGTTTTCTGGACTGAGGCAAAAACTCAAACGGCAGTCTGGAAGCGTGAGCTGGGGTGCTAGGACCCTGAGGTGATAGGCTGAGGCAGTAGGGAGTGGTGGGGACTGAGGCAAAATGGGGGCGGGGCTAAAGGCCTTTAGATTTATTTTAAATACATTGTCAGGCATTTGTTGAGCACCTGGCTGTGTGCCGGTTCTCTCGCGAGTCTACCCAGCGCCCCCTGTGCCTTTGTGGGGGGCACTGTGGGTGGGCTCAAGGGGCACTTTCTGGTGGCTTCTCTGGAGAAGAGAGGGGGATCGATGGGGCCCGTCTCCTCACCCTGTGCTGAGACCCCTGTTTGCACGGAGGGAAGTAGAGACGGTATTGATGTCACTCAGAAGGGGAAGAGCCCCCACTGAGTCCTGGGGGTTGGGGGTGTCAGTGCCCACATCTCTCTCCGGTCCTGGCTGCCAACCCTTTCACTTTGTGCTGTTATTACCTTGCTTGTTGCCTCATCTGTCCATTTGGACCATTTGTGTGCTGGACGTGGGGGCTCCATTGCTGTAAACAGGTGGTTCCAAGACAAAAAACGCTGGAGGCCTCTTGAGAGTCTCCACAGAATCAAGGCCCCAAATAGGTTGAGGACACCCCACAGGTGGACAGGACAGGTGAGGATGTCCCGGGCAGAGGGAGCAGCCAGATACAAAGACACGGGGCCTGAGAGAGAACACGGTGCCCTCGGAGTCTTGGGAACAGGGGTGTCAGTACCTTCCAGGGTCTCGAATGAATGTAGGAGTGGAAAGGGACCCTCTTTGTCCTGATGACTTCGGATGAGGAAATAGAGACGTTTCTCTACTCCGGAAAATAGAAGTGCAAACACAGTAATAAGTGACAGCTCACGCTTGACTTCAGTGTCTATGGGAAGCAATACGGAGCGGTGGGGCCTGTGGCTAACTACAAAGCTGTGCCATGTGTCCGCTGCAGCTGACTCTTGGCCACGTGGCCCCTGTATGTGCTGATTTTTTTTGGATGATGAGCTAGAAACCTGTTTTCTTGTGAAATGGCCGGATTTTAAATCTTAGGCCACGTGAAAAACAACAGCGGAACACCTCATATTTGCTCGTGAAACACCTCATATTTGCATGTGAAATCTGTCCTCAGCCCCCAGTATGTCTGAGACCTCTGGGTTAGAATGTGGCAGGATTAGGGGAAGAGATACGTGATGTAGGACAGTGGCCAGGCCGGGGCAGTGCAGAGCACTGCAGGCTTTACAGCAGAGGAGAAGCGTCTGTTTCTTCTTTCTGTCTCAGTTGTTCTGGATTAGCCACGGCATCTGTAGTGCCGAGAGATGGGGGGCTTCTCTGGTGAGGTTTCACCCTCCGCTCAAGCTGGTGTCTTGGGCTGGGGGCTCCATCCATGACCTGCCTCTCACAGAAGAGACAGCGCAGGGGGCCTGTCTCCTTGGGAGACAGGACATGCCTTTGGCACCCTCCCCACCCTCTGATCAGCTGGGGCCGGGGTGGCCCAGGTCCTGCCAAGGACGGAGACTTACACATGAACCCTGGAAGGACTCTGCCAGGCAGAGCCACTGCCCTCACCACCGCCCACCAGCCCTGTTCGTAAACATGGAATAAATGGGTCAGCCCCAGCGTTGGCTTTGGTCTGTAACTTCTCTCTGCCCTTCAACAGCGAAGGAAGCGGCAGACACAGGCCCTGCAGCTCCTCATGTTACTTCGAGCAGGCTGAGCGTCTTTCTCTCTCCATGGTTTTATAAAACCCATGATCTTGCCGATAAATCTCCCGGCGAGGAAGGCGGCCGTTCAGCAGCCTGGCATGCAGTGTGCCTGGGCATGTCTGCTTGGGCCTCTCTAGTGGGCTGGTGCTGCGAGCAGGGGGGAGATGGGCATGGAGGGTGACCCACCGTGGGCTGGGGGTAGTGGCCTGCGGCCTGAGCCACAGGAGGTGCCAGGCAACCGCTCTGCTGTGCCTTCCTTGTTTATGACCGACACTCGGCACACTATGGCAAGTCAGGACCCTGGATGAGGCGGGCATCCCAGGCCACAGCGCAGGTGGGTCCCCGCCTGCCTCACCTTCCCTCACAGCCTGTCCTGGGTCATTTGTCCATGGGGATAAACAGCACAGCCCCTTCCCTCCAGCCCCAGAGATGGTCCCGTCGTTTCCCTGGGTGACCACGGGAAGATAGATAACCAGGTCCTTCCTAGCAGATGACGTGGAGGCCTCAGGGACGGGGCATTGCTGCTGGGAGGTGGCCCCTGTCCTCAGGTAGATGGAGGCTGAGCCATTGGTGGGTACTTATTTCTTGAAGGGAGCACACCAGGCTCACCCTAGCTGCCTGGGCCCCCCTAGTTTTAGGTTGTCATGGCCAGTATTTGCTTGACCCATCATGGGACACTGGGAATCCAGTGAGATGTCAGAGCTCTGTCAGAATTCCTGGAGCACCCTGCCCTGCGGCGTGTTGGGGACAGCAATGCTGCTGAGCACCATGGTGAGGAGGAGGGGACAAAAACAGCAACAACGGGACATTCACTAAGTACCAGCTATCGCTACCTGCCAGGCTGTGCCGAGGACTCGACGCGTAGTAACTTTGAGCAGCTATGGGATAGGCCATGTAACTGTCCCCACTGCACAGACGAGGAAGCAGGTACAGGGAGAAGGGGCTTACCAGCCGGTAGTGTCAGATTCAGGATTCAAAGCCGGCACAGCCAGTTGGGGGACCTGTTAGGTCATTGGCAGCATGTTGGTGGTGCAGCCAGCCTCTCAGAAACTGGCATTCACCGACCTCGTAGGCCTGTGAAGTTTTCCCGGTGCTGGGCTCTGCTGGATTCGTACAGCAGACGGGGCTCGGGGCTTGCTGTGGTGGGACGGCCCTGCCTGTGTCTCCGTCTCCAGTCACTGGGAATCCCCCTGTGCTCCGGCCCTGCGGGCCCCTAGCTCCCACGAGGCCAGCAGCCGGGAAGTTTCTGTCTCTTTGGGGAGTCCCTCGCTCTCTGTACCACGGACGCCTCTGGGAGACGCAGAAGGCTGTTTTCCCTGTGGCCTGTCACCCCTTCTGTCTCTCTTGCAGCCTCTCTCTCAGCACCCCCAGGGGCCCCTTCTCCCTGGTGGCTGGTGGCTACAGAGGCTGTGGTCCCTGTCCGTGGTCCTGGAGTGGTTCCGTGGCTTGAGGCCACATTGTTGCTAAGGACGACCATGAGTGGTTGCTTGTCAGTTGCTTGTGGGCTTGACAGATACCCCTGGGATGTGCCTTGTGCCTCATTTCTCCACAGTCAATCCCCTCCCCCACAGGGGTGTCGGATGCACATGTGTGTGTATCCAGGTCGCATTCACGGAGCGCTTGCTGCATGCCAGGGCTATACAGCTTTACCTCCAGAGCCGTATCAGACCCTGATCCTTCAGGAAGCCAGAG